CAGTAGTGGCTCAACTTCTTCTGGTAGCACGCCGAATTTTTTTCCCAGGGGACGTAATGCGCCGCTATCATTAGGCGCTTTAACTCGAAGCAACAAATGACAATGTGGGTGCCATTTCTTGATCTTGTCAATTTCAAGTTTGGAATCAAAAGTTGTGAGATTGACCCCAACATTGGCTGCGTATTTGATGTGGGAAATAGCTTTGCATGGGTTAGCAAATATGATTTGGTTTGGGCCAATTTCGAGATTTAAGACGGTTTCTATTTCTAGTTGGCTAGCACAATCAAAATTTGCACCCAATTTGGCTAGTTTAGTAAGAAGAGCAGGTTCGGTGTTGCATTTCACAGCATAGAAAGGTTTTATATTTGGAAAAGAATGGTTCCATTTGTCCATTAGCTTTTCAATTATAGCCAAATCCATGAGATAAAATGGCTGGCCAGCTTCATGGTTCTCTGCAATTGAACGGATTAAATCTGGCATCCCATCTTTTGATATTTTGGGAACATGACTCTTACCAATAGCTGTAGATAATAACATGATCAAGAAATATATAATAAGAAGGAAGAGAAATATTTTATTAGCTGAAAATATGAAGTACAAGTATAAGAGTCTCCTCTCTTCTTTATATAGAAAGCCAATGCCTAAAATATCTCATATTGTACTAACGTTCAAGATTATCACTTAATAAAAAATATAACAAATTGCATACATTCACGAGGATCTCGTGGTGAATGGCTTAATCGTACCTACGAGGAATAATATAGTTTACCCTAATATACGAATAACAATTAAACTTGTATTATGATTTTAAAAATATGTGATTTAATCTAATATTAATTGATAAACGAGGAATCTAATGTATAAATTGAAGAGTAGAGCAAGTCAAACCAGTGTGCGAACAAAGCTCGATCTCGAGCTAAGGCAGCCTCGGGGTGGGTTACCAAGAACAATAAAATAATAAGGCAAATAAGATGAACAGTAAGCAGGAAAGTGAAAATGTATATTCTCTTCTCAATGATTGATGTGTTACAAATGATTGAGGTCCCCTTTGTATAGTAGGAGAATCCTAAATAAGGTACACTTCCAATTGTAGTAAGGAATCTTATTATCCGTTCAAATCCGTTCCGGAATTTACATCGTGATCTTTGGGCCACTAGGGGAATCTCGCTCTTTCTGTTATGGAACCATAATGGTATTATCTCGAGGTCGGTCATACTTGGCCTCGGTGTTAATCGAGCACTTCGATCTTCGAAGCTTCTACTTTACCATTGGGCTCGCACCTAGTCCATTTTGAACTTGTTCTCGAAGTGACCCTCGAGCCCACGAAATTGGGCATACCTGATTTCGACCATATACAGATAGTCCCTGCATTTCTTAGAGTAAAATGATAAGAAACAATTTGATCCTCGATTCTCTGATGCCTTGATCATGATGTCAGTCTCATGATGTCAGTGACATAAATGATTGAAAGGACGCGCCTACATAGTTCCCAGTGTCATTAATTGAAGGCGGCTTTGGTCGTCCATTGGCTTACCCAAAACCGTTGAAGCGGCCACTATAAATAGTTCAATTTCACAACCTTTTCAACCTTTATTTCTCAAACATTTCCTAAAACCTTACTAGCTTCTCCATCTTCTCTGAGTCTATTCTTTCTTCAACAACAATTCACTTTAATTGTAGAAACGACCTCTATATTTGNTCAACTTCCTCTCTTCTTTTGAGTTTCTCCATAGCGATGGTTAAAACATCTAAAATCGTTCCTTAGAAATAAAAAGCCTCTTTATCATCGCGTTCGGACGGTGGTAGAACAATGGCTCCACCTCGTATCGAGGAGTGCATTCCTGGGTCATGAAAGCTATCTTCCGATTTCAAAATCGATAAGCCTATATCATTCCCAGGCTAATGCGAGCCCATGTCCCGATACATCTGCTCGATAACTGAAGATGATCTCGATTAGGTGAAAAAGGATTGTAATTGGGAGGATAAGGAGGTGGTGATTCCTTCCCCTGGAGAGAATTTAACCACTCATGTGGAAGGATACTTAAGCGAGTATACTTATCCTTTCACACTGGGTCACATGGATCCAGCATTGGGGCCTATAGATCCAGGCATTCTTAATTTTTGTCACAAATATTTGGTGACCCTTGGTCAGATCTACCCTTCTTTTTGGCACATCATCAATTTTCTTAGGTATTTCTCGGGCAAGGCCAAGGGGTTGTCTTTTACCCTTGACCACCTGATCAGGCTATACAGCTCTCGCCTCTATCGAGGTGGTTTGATAAAGATCCACCACCGATCCTTGGAGGCGCTATTCTCTAGCGTCGATGAAGATAAGGATCGAGGATAGATGGGCCAGTTTGTCCGAATCAAAACCTCCGACTTAATTCCTGTCGAAAGGATGCCTTTTCTCGAGGAATGGAACATGAAACGTAAGTACAACCCCATTGATAATGCTTACTACTCTGTTTTCTCTATTCTTTTTCGATCTAATTCCTTTTCGATGGTACAATTTCCCCTTGGTTTCCTGGTGCGATTCTGGATCTCGTAGGTTGGGTTCGACAATTGGCCTCCACTTTTTCACATGTAGAACGTTGTTGGCATGATTTGGACATGGGTCGATGGGAAGCTAAAACCCATGGCGAGTTCCCTTGTTCATATGTTGACGTTTCTCTGTAAAATACTTACTTTCCCCTTATGCAGGCTTCAGAGACATTATTGTTATGAGGTCGCCTCTTCCCGGTGAAGAGGACATTCTGCAGCCAATCAAAGAGAAGAAAAGTAAAGGGGTTTTGCCAACAAGTTCCCCGAAGCCCAAGAAAAATAAGGCTCGAAAGCCTAGAGCCGATCCTGCAGCCCTATCCGCAGATGAGGCCCAACAACTTCAGGATGAAGAGGAAGAAGGAGAGGATGTTGACTTCTTGTTGGTAGCTCAAAAGAGGGGGAGCACTAAAGTTTCTAAGGCCTCTGAACCGGCAGTGGCTAATGCAGTTCAATCTCAAACTAAAGAAATCTCTGAGAGGAGCTCGAGCAGAGTCCCTGAGCCATCGGGCGGCAAAAGCGCACCTCATCTTGGAGGACATCTGGCGGGTGAGCCCTAAGAGCCTGACTTAGAGGCCTTTCAAAGAGAGGAGAATGTCCCAAGTGAATCACTTGGGATAATTAACATAGATGAATCGTCGTCTGGCCCTGTGTTCTCTGAAAGGCAGTTGTGAGATACCTGAACCATGAAGACTCTCAACGTGGGGGACGACCCACAAAGTGAATGGTATTTTTCGGGAATACTTTGTAGGGGTCGAAGATGGTCCCGACCCAGATGCTTCGTTTATTTTTGGCGAGGCTCAGCGTCTTCTTAAACAAGTAAGTTTTCTGCCTCCATAATTATGTCCGTGCTTTATTCTTGTTTTTCTGAGTCTGACTTCTTTTCTTTGTGTGAAGGTTGTGATGCTCCATCGACAAGCATTATCCAAGTCTCGAGCCGAGCTCGCTGGACGCAAGGCCGAAATCAAGAAGCTCATGAAAGAGAGGGATAGCCTCAAACTCCTTTATGTTTAAAAAGAGGAGGAGATTAGGGGCCTTCGAGCCAATTTAACGAAGGCTCATCGAGAACAGACCGAGCTCATTGAGCATGTAATGTAACTTTTGGGGAGTTTGTTATGTGTTTATTTGATTTAGTGACTAACACTTCGACTTTGCAGGTTCAGCACAAGGGCGATCTGGTGGAGCAGCTTTGAGAGGAGGTTAAGGCGAAAGAGGCCAAGACCCTGAGGTAGAAGCAGCATATGGATCATCTTGCTTCGGAGAAGGACACGCTTCAGGCCCAGTTGGCTTCGGTTTAATGTTAACTACAAAATGAGAAGGTGGAGAGCTTGGCCCGGAGCCGGAAGATTGAGGATCTCAAAGCTAAGTCGGCCGCCGAACTTGAAAAGGCTAAATCTGAGGTGGAAGCATTTGTGGCCTCCTATAAAACTGACACTGAGGCTGCCAACATTCGGGCACATGAGATCTCTACTATTTCTGAAGTCAAATTGTCATACGATGTCGACCACACCAGGCGAAAATCCTGGAGAGAAACTCTCGAGGAAGTGCACGCTCGTGGCTTTGACCTTTCAGGTGATATTGAAAAGGTAAAAACTTTGGAGGAAGAGGCTGTCGCTTTACTCTTCGATGACGAAGACTCCACTAGTGGTTTCGAGAGCGGAGGAGATAAGGAGGAGGTTCTTGAAGATGTGGCTCCCGAAGATGCAGCTCCTAAAGTAGATCAGGCCCTTAGGATTTTTTCCTTTTTATTTTGTGTAAGGCTCTATGTGGGTATTGTAAATATTCTTCATGTATATGAAGAATTCCTTTCCTTTCCACTCCGTCTCCAATTTGTTGTAAAGCTTGATCCATTTTCGTTTCGTGAAGAATTAGTTTTTGATGTCATAACTTCAATAATCGAGTGAGCATCGGAACCCTTAGGGTTTTTTTTTAGTAATTGATGGGATATCTTATAATAGAATACCTCTTAAGGTTTTTTGATGAATCCTCGAGCTATGCTTAAGTTGATTTTGTGCGAGCTCGAGATGGTGGGACCCTTAGGTCTGAGTTGAGTGAGAACAAAGGTCTCGATCTCTGAATGTTTTAACCCTTATGTTCTTTTAGATCGGGTCATTATGGCCTCTAAGAGATGGCTATTATTTCCCCTTTTCGGCTTAGAAGACTTAGTAAAAATTTATTTATGCCTTGGCATGCATTTTTTACCCATTGGGTTTTTTGACGGTGTAGTGTTAATCGGAACCCTTTGTTTTTAGTGCCTTAACACAAGCTTGTATTTGGATAATTTGATACCTCTTAAGGTTTTTTGAGGGCTGATTTTATCGAAGCCTTTTGATTATTTTGCCGAGGGTAGCCTTTATTTAACCGATTTTCTAAGAATTTGAATGCTTATTTTTATTGTGGATTTCGGACGTCTCTGAACCGCATTATTTCGGCCGTAGACTTTGGGTGTGTCTCTTGGACTTGTTTCCCAATAACATTTCAAACTTATTCAAAATGTTAGTCCCCGAGTATGATGGCCTTGGCCTTTGTGTCCAGAGATGTATCTTTGAGGTCTTATAAATTCGAGTTTAGACAACTCGAATGTGTTGACTGTCGATGACAGTCCCCGAGTATTCGAGGTGCATTTGCGTTTTGGCCCTTGAGCCTTTTCTCACAGAATCACGAGTATGGAGCTCGTATAGTAGCAAATTTCTTTGGGACACAAAATGTTTGATATAGAAAGAATGTTTCTTTGAATAATTCATACATGCGTACATGTTTTTCCATCGAGGCTCAATTGTTCTACATGGACACGGTTCATTTGATCGTTGGCCCGTTACAAAGTTTTCCTATCGAGGCCCTCTTTGGCGTGAAGTATTTATCTGGAAAATATAACCTCCGAGGGTGACGCCCCCAGTATTCGAGGTTGATTGAAAATAAGCCTTGTATACTGTTGAATTCTCCTTAGGTAGCATATAGTTTTTGCCTCGTTAAAAACCTCGCCAGAAAACCCCATTTGG